AAAATGTTATTTTCTCTTGTTGGACCTTGTGCGTTTTCTGTAAAGTTTTTGTATATTCAATTTAGATGTAATATATGATTATATACTAATATTATAGTAGTAGATGTAGATGCAATAACTGCATTACTATTTTTTAAAAGTTTTCAATGTTTATTTTTTAGAGACAGAGTGTGAGTAGGGAAGGGGCAGAGAGAGACACAAAACTCCAAAGCAGGCTCCAGGCTCCTAGCTGTCAGCACAGAGCCAGATGTGGGCCAATTGAAGAGTCAATGGGAGAGGAATAAAAGGATAATGAGTGACAGAGAGAGAGAAACAGGTAGACCAAGGAAATCAGGCACACTGAAAACTCTGTAGGGGAGCCTAGGTGGCTCAGTCAGTTGAGCGTCTGACTTCAGCTTAGATCATGATCTTGTGGTTTGTGTGTTGAAGCCCTGTGTCACGCTCTATGCTGACAGCTCAGAGCCTGGAGCCTGCTTTGGATTCTGTGCCTCCTTTTCTCTCTGCCCCTCCCCTACTAAGACTCTGTCTCTTTCTTCCTCTCAAAAATGAATAAACATTTAAAATTTTTTTATAAAAAGAAAACTCGGTAACCCACAAACCATGAGATCATGACTGAGCCGAAGTCAGATCTTAAAGGACTGAGCCATCCAGGTGCCCCAGTATATGTATTATTTTTAATGCATTTTATATTATTTAAATTTTAGAAGAAATTTTGATTTAAAAATTATTCATGGATCACAGAAACTAAGAACTTAATCTTCTTTTAAAGTTGCTGATTCACCTTCACATTATTTTTTTACAAATAATTTTTAGAATTGTACTTTACGAAGTTTTCCCTGAAAATTATTTGATTTGATTTACTGCAAAGAAGATGCCTATAAATTAGCATCCCCTGATTGATGATACATAGGAATGATCTAAAATGTTGCTTACGGTAGTGATATAATTTCCACACCCCCTTAAGATAAGCAGATGTGTTTGTGAAAAAGAATCATTTATCTCTCCACTTAAGTGATTGAGAAAGGGATTGCTAGTTTAGTTCAGTATGTTGGCTTTTGTAGCACATTTTAGTGCTGGAGTAGTTTCACCACTATGTCACTTTTTCTTCCTGGAAAGGAAAATCATTGTATTTTAAAGCTCAAATGACATTCAGACTGTGAAAAAGGTTACTTGACTTCAAAAGTAAGGGTTTAATCAAGAGGTGAATTGTGTTCTTGAGTAAGAAAACCAAATTCAATATAGATAGCAGGCAGCTGTGAGACAAAATTTACTTTAATGCAATTTTACAAATGTACTATGGCGACAAAAATAAAATTGGTTTGCCAGAATTTGCATTTTATCTTCTGCCACTAACTCAGTCCTATGAAGGTATATGCTATGCCACTAATTTGGTCCTATGTTGGGTGAACAGCTGTTGTCTTGACCCTTTTGTACAGTTCGCCTTCTATCAAGAATCATCAGTACCAGCCCCTCTGCCTTTGCTGCTTTCCCTTCACCACCCCCCACTCTTCAGAAGTGCATGTGCATAGTGCCAGTCTATTATCTAAGCAGGCAGGAAGCCTTGTTTCTCTTGGCAGGAGGTACTTGAATGAGGAGGTGTGTGTGTCCTTTTCTTTGGTAGTTAGCTATTGTTATTCGACCAAGATTTTTGGTGGGTGTGTTCTTCATTTCAAACTAAAATCATCATTTTACAACGATGTCCCATTTCCTCTGATATTCAAAAGTGTGAGGGGAAAACATTGATCAAAATGGAATAGTAAACAGAATCAAGAATGGAAAATGAAAATTTAATCATGGAGTATTTGTCATCTTTTTATTTCTTGATTATGCCCCTAACTGGGCCTTTATGGTCCTGTCCCTGCAGTCTCAAAAATTGCACATGTCTTTGATGTTATGCTGAATAAATACCCCTAGGTAATCAGCATATGATCTTGAAACACTATTGCTATTAAATTATACGTTGTTAGAACTTTGACACAAGAGGTACTTGATATTTCAGTCAATGATCGCTTCACTGAGCACTATTCTTTTCACCCTCTCATCATGTTGTAAACTGTTTTCTAGCTCAGGAAGGTAATAATTGATCTCAATAATGTGGCTATGTACTTAACCACTGAGCAGCAACCAGATGTGAGGGTATATTTCCAGTAAAACACTTGAATACTGCCCATGGAGAAGTGAGTCTAATGTCAGATCTACCCTTGATGTAACAAGTGCTCTTTGGTGAGCTGTACTCTTTTAATGAGATTATTTGTAAGCATAATGGGGAGTATGGAAATGTGCCAATTGAAGAGTCAATGGGAGAGGAATAATAGGGATAATGAGTGGCAGGGAGAGAGAAACAGGTAGGCCAAGGAAATCAGCACATTTAGAACTCTGTAAAATCAAGTGAGTGAATTATAGCTGCAAGAGGATGTCTAATGGTAACTTTTGATGTGTTTTATTCTCAAGAGTGTGAAAGTCACTTTATGCATTCTATTTTTGGTAATTAAGAGTAATTTATAGGTTTGCCACCTTTCCTTTTTCAAGTGGCAAGCCTCCAGATCCTTTCTGTGCCGAAATGCTGTAGAGTGAAGTGGTAGGGAACACGCCCTCAATAAGCATGTTAAATTCTTCAATTATTGCCATCAAATCCATGTTATCTGAAATGACTTTGTTATATTTTTTCTTAATTCACATACTTCTTTTCAGCAGAGATTCTGAAGTTTATATCTGACTGTAGTTTATGTTTATGTATTTTCTTTATGAAAGTATAAGGAAGAGTCTAATTTTAAGAGAACCAGAGAATGAATATCTAAAGTAATTATTTTACAGTGTCTATATTCATCTTTCTATCTTCTGGATGTTTATGCATACAAATTATTGAGAAACAGTTATTGGATTATCTCCTCAGCACTTTTATCTCTTCCAGATGGTTTTTCTTTAATTGTTGTTTTTGAAACTATGATCCCCTCCCTTTCTATAATTCCAAATTTTGGTTTGTTTCAAGCTGTTGCTAATTAGTATAGTTTTAAATTTTGAACAGTGGTTGGAGGAGATTATATTGACAACATATCAGGAATAAAACCTGTTGGTTGACATCTATTAAGAAAAAATGGAAAATGTGTAGGATGGAGAAGCAATGCCAATAAGAAGGGGGATTTTGTTGTTGGTTTTGTCTGTTTTTACATTTCTTTGAATATTTGGTTACTTTTCAATAGAATTGGTTGTTAAGAAGTAAAATCCTGCTTCTGATATTACATTAGGACTTTAATGAATGGCTTCATCTTCTTGAACTTTAATTTCCTTTTCTTTAGAATGAAGATTATACTTATTTCATGGCTCTGTGGGTCACACCTAAAATGAAGTACTCTCTGATTTGTATCCCAAGTGTATTTCTATTCATCTGCTTCTGCCTTGCTCTGCCTCCTCTCTGACCCATAATGGAATGATTCTACAGGAAAATCCCCACAGTAACAATTTGACAAATGTCATCAACATTAGCTATGTCCTTTGCTATCATGAGTGTGAGGCTCAGTTTATAACAACACATTGCCGTCGACATGTAAAACAGCACATTATGAAAAGATCAATCAGCACACACACACACACACACACGTACTTTTATACATGTCTTTATCAAGTAAAATGTGTTTCAGTTAAGGAGAAAAGAACAGGAGCACCTGGGTGGCTCAGTTGTTTAAGCATCCAACTCTTGATTTCAGTTCAGGTCATGATCTCATAGTTTGTGAGCTTGAGAACATGGAGCCTGCTTGGGATTCTGTCTCTCTCCCTCTCTCTCTGACCCTCCTGTCCTCTCTCTCTCTCTCTCTCTCGCTCTCTATCTATCTATCTCTCTCAATAAAGAAATAAATAAACTTTTTAAAAAAGGAGAGAAAGAACACCTAACATCTTATTAAAGTATAAAAGTGTGATGATAAAAGTGGGGCAATATAGTCTGCGGTGTGAATCTTATTGCAGACTTCACATATAGAATAATCTTGAAGTTAGGTGAGACCCCATATGTAAATGATTCTTGTGTGTCACTTCCTAGGACAGTGGACTTTTTTGTTCCTGTTGTTGAATCAAGTATAAAGGCAAAACTCCTTAGTTTTCATGGGAAAGCCAATTACATAAAGTAAGACTTCAGTTTCTTATGTTAGTAGTTACAAATGGAAATTATAGGCTGGGAAAACTGTTTATATTTAGGGAGTTTTCACAAATTTGTCCCTTTAAAATATCCCTATAATATTCATGTTTGACATGCTTTCTCTAAGTACTTGCTTTTGAATAATCCCATTAAATGTATGCTATAGTTTTATTATAGGTCTTAATCTGTGTATATCACCTTAAGTAAAGTTAGTTTATCCTGTTTACTGCTAAATTGAGGTCAAAGTTGAACTATTTTTTCTCACCTTTGTTTTTCAATATGCAACCATCTAAAAGAATGTGTGCCATCTATATACATTCATTTTTTTTTTTCAAGATAAAATCAAATAGCCCATTGGTGTTTTGGCACAACAATTTAAGAAGTTTTTTTTAATTAATAAAATTGAGCAGAACAAATGACATCCTTATATATAAAATATTTCCCATATTTTAAAAGTTAACTTGACATGTTTTGCCACAAATTCACTGTTTTAAACCCTAAAAAATAATTTATAAATAAAAATATAGTTAAGCTTTTAGCATCTGAAATAATACAAAATGCTACTGAGAATGGAATCCAATGATAGTATCATTTTTCCATCTATCCACATAACATTCAGTCTTTGAAGGTACTTGAATCTCCACACAATAGCTTTAATTGAAAGGGATAAAGCATATTATTAAATCTGGCAGACTAATTTATCATATGCATTTATAACAAGCACTTCAGACCATTTCATTCTTTCACCTGTCCAAAATCAACATTTTCCTTAAGTTCATTAGGCTTCCTTCCATGTTATTTTTCCAAACAGGCACCATTAGTTTAAATCTCAAAGAAACAAAAGAATGTATTGTCACAAAAGGAAGAGAGAGTGCTTGTTTTGGCAGCACATATACTAAAATTGAAACACAGAGAAGATTAGCATGGCCTCTGTGCAAGGATGACACCAAATATGTGAAGAGCTTCACAGTTTTAAGAACAGGAAGAGGGGTATTGGAACTATATCAGCTAAATTTTAAAAATCCTTTTAATCAAATAACATCTCAAGCTTTACAAATTTATCATCCTGAGCTTAAATTTATAAACAAATATGAGGTCTTATTACTGAAAATGCTTTTTTACATAAAAATGGCCTTTAAACTTTTTAAATGACATTAAAATCCTTAGATATTTTCTAAGGAATAAAAAGATCAAAGCACCTGTGTCACTTTTTTTCCATTGGCATATTGACTCAAATTGCTGTAAACTTTCCTATTTAGGTGAACCATTTTATAGAACTCTACATAAAGCCATTATCGGAATTTAGGAAGAAAACAAAATTTCATTGAGGTGCAAGAATTGGCACATTTTCAGTGACTGGATATGATAACAAGTGAGATCATCAGACTCATTTGTCATCATTCACCCTCATATTCCTATTTATTCCCCTCACCACTGCCTCTTGGTAATGTGGGAGGACAGTCCCTTCATCTGGAAAATCCTGGTGTACATGGGCAATGGCGGCTTTGCAGTTGTACAGAATCATTTCATCAAATAAAATGAGAAGAGCAGTATTTTCAAGTATAGTTAAAAGTAATATTTAAAATCCCTCTGTTTTTGTTCTTTTCATTTATTTATTCAGATTAATTTACTAAAAAAAAAGACCTATTTTCCTGAACACTCTGATAGATGTTGGCATATAATCAGAAAAATGAGGCAAATACGCATTTCTGTGGAGCATCTAGTGGCCTACTGTCCCCATGTATGCTCACTCTATCCTGTTAGAAGTAGAAAAAAATCATTAAAGTAAGTATTTTCCTGACTTATTTAAAATAATATAATTTTTACAGGAATTAAATGATTTTATGTAGATGAGACATTTAAATTCCTTTCTTAGTACATGTTAAGTGTTTTATATCATTATAATTAACTATTCATCAAAGATTTGTTGACGAAAATAATACAATAATTTGAAAAAAAATTTTTGATAACCTGTTACTTCTTTTGATTTTCACAAAGAAAAGTTGTTTACCTAACCTAATTCTAACATTCACCATTAGCATTACTTTTTGTGGGAAATTTTCTTAAGCACTTTTTCATCACATGGAAAAGAGCTAGACGTTTTAGATCCTCGCAGAGTAAATTAGATAATAAAAAAAAAAAAGGTATATCTACTCCAAAATGCTTTCTGTTGAGGCATTTTGAAGTTCAGGGCACACCGTGCCAAATGTTTATTTTCTTAAATTACTTGATAAGTATTTTTTCAGGGGGTGTTTTCAATAGGTGAGACTTGTCGGCAGCCTGCCACGGTCCCCAGGGGCGCTGGTCCAACACCCCAGACAAGGGAGGTGGAGGACCCTGCACCATGAAGCTGTACCATGTCGGTGTCCTGTACAAAGGCAAGCCCAAGGCAGTGCTGCTCCAAGCCGCCTGCGGCATGTGCTCCTTCAGCTTCTTCCAGAGGTCCAGTCCTCAGGAAGTCATGACCCTCACAAATCCATGACTGTGGAGCACTCAGCGTGAGGCAGCAGAGGTTCTGTCCCAAGAACAAGAGTATCTATGCCATGTCCACGTGTGAAACCACCTCTTGCAGGAGTGGTCACTGTGGACAGTGAATTTCCATCCCGGATGGCTTTTACCTTGCTAGAGAAGGTACTAGACCAATCTCCAAGCAGGTGGATGGGATAGAGTGGCCAGTCGGATCTCTTGCTGCCATCCACTAAGCAGCCCTTAGATGGCCACCAAAGTAGATACAAGAACTGCCGAGAAGCTGACCTCATGACTAAGGTGCAGGCTGAGCTGGATGAGATCAAAATCAGGCTGCACAGCATGACAAGGTCTCTATTAGAGCGACGGAGAAGCTAGGTGACCTGGTGTCCAAATCCCAAGTGCTGGGAACAGCCTAAAGCCTTCTACATATAACATGGCCCAGCGAGAGAGCTCCTGCTGTGCAGTCATGCAACCAGCATTGTGCAGAGGTTTCTGTGCTGAAATGCCCCAGTCATTTGAATCAGTACTACAGACCTTGGAGAAGCAGACCACCTGGAAAGATCCATGTGGAGATGCTCTCATTTTTCACTTTGGACCTGCTGGCAGAAACTAAGGGGCCATGGAGGGGCCTGGAACACTTCAAATTTACATCTCTGGTGATTTTCGGAAAGATCATGTAGGGTCCTCAGAGGTATATTATTGGGCCAAATGAAACTATAAACTCTGAGTGACTAAAAAAAATCTGAAAAAATAAATCATTCTTTATTAAAAAGAAGCAAACTTCAGCCATCACAGCAAGATCTTCACACACACTCACATTTGAAACCTGGATGTTCTACTATGACTGAATAAGTTTACAGACATTCAGTATTACTACCAAGAAATTTAAAAAATATATATTTTTCATTCCTTATATAGTATGTCTAAGAAATTGACATGGAAAACTCAGTACTTAGCCAAGTTATTCTATCAACAGCGTTAGCCTGCCTGGATAATTCAGGCTCTAAAGACTTCTCTTCAATAACAGATGGCCAGTGAGAGTCTGAGCAAAATAGTTAAATTCCCCAAGCAGTGCTCTTGGCTTAGCCAATGTATAAACTGTCTTAGTTTCTTTGGAATAAAAATTTACCCAATGTAATTTTACAAGTCTGTAGATAAAGTGGATTTCCCAAGAGTACCATATTTTCCTGATTGGATCCAGAGCAAGAAACCAGATACTGCTATAGGGATGTTGCATATAGATTCTTTGTTCTCTGTACTTCAGTTATCACCTAAAAGTTTTCTGACATTATTAATTTGGTAAGTCATTAGTTTAAAAACTGGTCAAATTTTGCAACTTTGTGGGAACCTCTTTCTGGATTTCTCCATAAAAGAAAGAGAAGGGAGTTACTGGAATCAATTTTATAAAGTTGTTAATTTTCCCTAAGTAATATTATTTTAAGTGTAATTCCCACCCCCCTCCCCAAGCCCTCAGGAATCAGTTATAGGTATGGAGGAGTTCAAATGAGCACCAAAAATAAATGTACAAGCCAAAATATTAAGGCAAGGAAGATTACCTGGGTCTTTTGAAAAGCCAAGAGTTAAGTTATGGGGTTTAAGATTTAAGAACAACTATATAGGAATGTTCAGAAACCATCTGATGTTACAGGGTGCCCGAGTGGCTCAGATGGCTAAATGTCCAACTCTTTTTTTTTTTTTTTTTTTGGCTCAGGTCATGTACTCACATTTCATCAGTTTGAACCCCACATTGGGCTCTGCATTGACAGGGTGGATGGAGCCTGCTTGGGATTTTCTCTCTCTTCTGTGTCCCTATCCTTCTTGTCCACATCCTCTGTCTCACAATAAATAAACCTAAAATTTTTTTTGGAAAAGAAGCCATCTTCTGTCTTTAAATATACCATTTATTTAGACATAATTCACGATAAATTTAGCACTGTCTTTAATGTTAGAAATATTTAATTCATTTTTCTGCTAAATAACTTTTGTTTTATTTTTTTAAAAAAATTAATGTTTTATTTATTTCTGAGAGAGAGAAAAAGACAGCATGAGCAGGGAAGGGTCAGAGAGAGAGGGAAATACAGAATCTGAAACAGGCTCCAGGCTCTGAGCTAGCTGTCAGCACAGAGCCCGATGCAGGGTTTGAACCCACGAACTGCGAGATCATGACCTGAGCCGAAGCCGGGCGTTCAACCAACTGAGCCACCCAGACGCCCCAAATAACTTTTGTTTCAAAGTTTAAGTTATGAATATTAGAAAGTATGATAGTATAACTCATTCCATTCTATGTAACAGTTTCAGATAGTTAGATAGAGGTAAGGAAGGTAGATTTATGAAATGAAGTACCTGGGAGCACAGATGGAAGCACTCATAGATATATATGTGCAACAATATGGGTTTTTTTTAGACTTTGATACAGTTAGTAAAATAACTGTAAATATTTTTATCTAGTTTGTATTTTCTAGTAAAATACTGTAGACAAGAATGTAGGTTTCTGCCCAAATTCTACTTCAAATTTTAAGTACTTGATAATTTAAATTATTTTGTTTATTTTGGAAAATGAATTAACACACATTTCCAGAGAAATATTTCTTGCTTAATCCCTTGGAATGGGTATGTATAAGAGCACTGAATGAGAAGAGTGTATTAAAATCACATAAGGCATCTCTCGGTTTCATTTGTAGATATCTCTCTGCCCCCAGGATGACTGTAATTCTTCCCTAGGAATTCAGAGTTCATCAAACTTATATGGATCAAGAAGCTAAAAAAGTCCTTTGCCCAGGACAAATTTCTCTTATTTTCTGTATATATTTTATCTCATGATACCAAAGACTATAGTCCTTATAGAACATGTAGACATTTCTGATGATCTCACTACACAATCTATACTGCCATAATTTTTCCTCAGTGCTATTTCAGTCTTTCTCTTATCTATCTTTTGGGGAATACAATTACCTTCTGCTTGGATCAGTACTTCAACAATAAGCAAATGCTATGGTTCTAAATTTAGTCATGAGTCAAAGGGAAAAAAAGGAAAATGAGGATTATATAAATACTTGACAACGATAACACATAGGTACTAAATAAGTAATAGTAATTTAGTAATAAATTCTGTATAATAAACACAAACACATACAAATGTGTGGATATATAATCATAAAAAGATGGCAAAATTTATTTGGAACATCTGGTTGCCTGCTTTGCACATGTATATTCTATTGCGTTAGAAGCAGGAAAATCAGAAAAATAGGCATTTTCCTGATTCTTTATAATAATAATATTTTATTATATTTGTATACTCTGTTCATATTCTATATCTTAATTCTAGATTATGAAGTGAAAAAGCCCATTTTTACTAGGTTACTAATGCCATAGTCATTATATCTATGTTGAAACAGGTATTCATACTTGTCAGCATGACCTATCCAATAATATGACCTTTCCAATAATATTGGTAATATTATGACACTGTGAGTAGGGATTCAGGTGGCTTGAGATCTACTCCTAG